TCAAAAGGAACTTGCGAAACCATACCTATTGGAAGCATTGATAATAGGCTTCTGCCCTCTTTGTGATGATCTTCATCTTATGATCTGATATATTCTTCATCTGTGCGAAGAGGATGATTAGTGCCATTGAAAACATAACGACCTTCATGACGTATCCCAGAAACTTTACACTTGGAACAAGGCTGGCAGGACACATGACTACAATGATTCAGAATAAAAGCTCGAGCTGGTGCGTCAGCTATGAAACATCTTAATCTTATTGGAATCTTATTACCATGAAAATTAATACCTCCACTACACATGATCTTTCTAATATCCATAATGAATTTTTCCAGGAAAATATTGGAATCGCATGGCTTATGCGCACCTTTATAAATTCCAACTACTATAGGCCTTGCATATTGTATATTTGCAATTCTACATTGGATGGGCCAGATCTGAATGCTACCTGACTTATCTAAACTACATCCGTCTATATTGAAATCTAGTTCCAATTGATTAACAGTAGATGCGATAGAAATATTTGAAAGATATTTAATAATTCCTGCTTCCACATCAAAATGAATATACTCTCCTGGTTCTACACGAGACACGACAGCACATGTACGTGGTGTATCAAGAAGCGTTCTAACATCTTTCGGTAATTTATTAAAACAGGGATGTGTACGAAGAAGAGATAATATACTATTACCTTGCATATGCGTTATATTATTATTTACGAAGCAAGACGCTAAACGTTTACGGAAAGATGATCCCATAGAAGTAATTTTGAAGGATGAAACTATATACTGGCATCAGAGACAGAAAAAGAAACCCCATCATCTTCTACATTAATATCACGCCTGTAATTGCAAGTATCATTTATAATATCTGAAAAAGAGCTATAACATTCAGTAATTGATGGACCAGGAGCATCTTGAATATCACGATCATTCTTCGACTCTGTAATGGCAGTTTTGCATTTTAAACGATATTGTAAACGTAAATTTTGTCTAACTTCGTACATGATTCGACTTCGTTGCCTTATGGATAAACTGTACAACGATTTTCGCGACATAGTTGATTTTAATTTTGTTGTTTTCATATTTACGTGTTTTCTCGACGATATTGCTGCAAGCGACGTAATCTCTGCTGAATATCCTGCAATATCACACTCTAATCTTTTCAATATTCTTCGTTCACTATCGTTTATTGCTACACACTGTACACCACTTACCACTGCAACGACTGAACTAAGAATGATCGAGGTTCACATCCTGCACAATAACGGTAAGACTACGACCAATCACGAACTCGAACATCATGGCGCAGCCTATCCGAGAATATCTTTTTGGCGGGATCGAAAATGTATGGCGGACATTATACCGCCAAAATGATTCTCGGATAGGCTGCGCCATGTTGCTCCAGTGTTGCTTCGTAGGCGCCAATTATGATATATTTTGTATATAATTTCTCTCTTTTTCAGGTTTTTCGCTTTTTTTTTCTCTATCGAGCGAATATACATCCATGTCATTTCAAGATCTCAAACAGCACATAATATTTATATATATGATAAATATTTATAAAT